TCCCTTCTAATTCTACTCTGTCCCTCGAAGTGTTTGTGTTCAGAAAACTTCTTAGTTTTTGGTTTATTCCAGTTGCGTTGTGTAGCACTTCTTATGTGCCTGGCACTGTTTTAAGTACTTTACAAATACTCATTCATTCAATATTAACTCACTTAATGGTTAATCATTTATTCTAGTTAGAGAGTATAGAAGAAAATAATGAATGTGTACGTATATGTATTTCACTTGCTCTTTTTTTCCTTTTTGTTTGTTTTTGCTTGGACCTTGTCCTCACTGATTATTGGAGGTGGGGAGTTTAGTCTTGGGGCTGGCACTCAATCCCTGACTTGTGGTAGTTCTGCTTTTAAAGTTTAGAACATGTGGAAGATTGAGTTTTGAGATGGTAAGGACTTGGACTAAACTGGTTTCTGTGTTATATAAGTATAAAACTTAGATTTCCAGGAAAATAAAGCATCTGATAAATAAAACTTATACCTCTCCCATCTCTCTTTGGTGTCATTAGGCAGATTTTCTCATTTATATGCCAGAAGAAGCTTTTAAAGACTGTATTAGACATAAAAGTCTACACTGTCTCTCTCCCTGCCCATTCTAGCATGCTTGAAGATGACCTTCAGCTCAGTGACAGTGAGGACAGTGACAGTGAACAAGTAAGTTTTGTACACCCCATAATATCAGGCATCCTCTTAAATGAGTCTAACATATCTAAGCTGCTTATCCTAACTTATTTTTTGTTCTTTTTCTGATCCTTCTTCCCCTATTGTGAATGCCTAGACCCCAGAGAAGCCTCCTTCCTCATCTGCACCTCCAAGGTACTGTGTGCGGATTTCACCCCATCTATATAACATTTGCATTTTTCTACCAAATGGGAAAAACAAAGCTTTATTTTGTACTTTCATAGTTTTTTTATGGGAAAGGAGATGGAGGATTGCAGTTAAAGGAAAACTAAAAAAACCAGTTGCTGTTGAGTGGATTCTGACTCATGGAGACCCCCACGTGTTTCAGTGTAGAGTTGTGCATAAGGGTTTCAATGGCTGTGGCCTTTCAGGCATAGATCACCAGGCCTTTCTTCCAAGGTACCTCTGGGTGGATTTGAACCATTAACCATTTGTACTATCCAGAGACTCCAGTTAAAGGAAAGTACCTGTTTAATACATTGGAGCTTTAAATTAGCCACAGAGAGGTTGTAAGAGTCCTTCCAACTACCTATATACATCCTCGGTGGTGAATCCTTTGGCATTTAAAATTTTTGAGAGTTTAAAAATATGCATAAAACACTTCCTATTAGTATTGTATAACCAATATTTAAAAAGCTAAAGTGAAGATCCCAGTGTTTTTAGGAAGATGACAGATTTGGTATGTCTTCACAAATTGTAAAAGCTGAATTATTTCTAGAATTTGGTTTCCATAGTGCCCCTTTCTTAATTCTGTGAATTTTCAAGTTATTTTCAGTTACTTTTAAAAAGGTCTACAGTACATTTTAGTGTGATTTTAGAAGATGGCAGTGTTTTTACTTCGTAAACAGCTAGCCATATTTTACAAAATGTGATGCTTTAATATTTGGAAATGGGAACTGTTTGAACTAGCTGCTTTATATCTAGCTGCTGTTCAAAGAGACTTCATTCCCCAGAATTTAATGATTTAATGTACCAAATACCTGCCCTCCACGGACAAAGAGTTAAATCGTACTGTTAGCTATTCTACTTCCTTGAGATGGGGCTATCCATTCAGAAAGAAGATCAGCAGTAAAAGCCTCTGCCTATCATACGGATGATGTTATAATTAATGTGGAGGAAAACCATGTAGTTATGTGAGTAATCCATAAGGTGTGCTTATTTATTTATATTCCATTTTGTTCAGTAATTTCTGGTGGGTTATGATGATGCAGAGAGTATGATAAAATAGCCTAACTTAAAAAATATGAGAAAAGAAAAAATAAACAAGGAGGAGATAATTTAGAGGCAGGAGTTAACATTGGAAGTTTATACTGTTCTGACCATCACTGGCTTAAGCCCTTCAGCTTCCAGAGTGAAAAGGGTCACAAACTTGACACAGCATTTTATATGAGGAAATTATGTAGTAGTGTAGTTATTAATTGTTTATTTTAAGATGACCTCAGATAGTGACTTAAATTTATTATTTTTAAACATAATGTTAGGTAGATGTGGAGGCGTTTAAGATTATAGTTAATGATTTAACAACTTCAGCTGTTCCTATCTAGCACAAGGTTTTAAGATTGTATATGCTTTGAAATTCTGCATGTGTCTAGCAGTGTGATCAATATGTGTTTTTCTCACTGGCCTACAGTTATTGCCCTATTCTTAAAGCTTGCAGCAGTTAGTCTTTACTTCAGCTGGTATTTGGGGATGTCCTAAGGTTTTTCACTCATAAAGATGGCCCATTTTATAATTCTGCCAAAGAAGCGTGAATAATTTGCCTTTGAGCTTACTTTCCAAAGGAGCACCATTTATATTCAGTAATCTGTGGCTGCTATACAGTTAGTTCTCATATAGGGAATATAGGGAGAATTGAACATATTGGCTTTTCTTTTATAAATTAATGTTCTTTTGGATACGTAAAGCAGGGGTCAACAAACTTTTTATTAAAGGTCCAGATAGTAAATATTCTAGGCTTTACTGCCCATATGGTCTCTATTGCCACTACTCAGCTCTACTGTTGTAGTACAAAAGCAGATATAGACAGTACATAAAAGAATGGGTGTGGGTGTCTTCCAATAAAACTTTATTTTAAAATTCAGGCAATCACCTCAGGCCATGATTTATGAGCCTTTGCTCTAAAGGACTCGGCATATCACTTAAATTTTGTATACCTTGAAATGTTCTTCAGGAGTAAAATTTCAGAGGCTTCTTTTTTATGCAGTAATCTGGTGAGTTCTTTTAAGGGCTTTTCTCTGCTTTTTGAGCTACTGTGGGGCCCTGTCTCAGGTGGGTGATATGGTAATATTAGATAATTTTGAGGCCCTTCCTTTCAAGTAGCAGAAGCGTGGACAGAGTATGGAAAGTGGAGAAATCCACCTTGCACAGTGTCTTCTAATTTTATCTTTTGGTTGCTTTGCAGTGCTCCACAGTCGCTTCCAGAACCAGTGGCATCAGCACATTCCAGTAGTGCAGAGTCAGAGAGCACCAGTGACTCAGACAGCTCCTCAGACTCGGAGAGTGAGAGCAGTTCAAGTGACAGCGAAGAGAATGAGCCCCTAGACACTCCGGCTCCTGAGGTACCGTGTCCCCCTCGAGGAGGCAGCCTACGATGGCACCATTCTGTCTTTTGGGGAGAGAATCTGCTGTGGGCCAGGACTGGCCACGAGACTGAGAAGTTCTGTCTGTCCCACGGGCATCATTTTGCTGCTCCTACACTATGTAGAGCCATCTGTTTCTGTTTACTTATTTCTTACCAAATATTTGTCACTGGAGGTTTCAGGGAGACAGCTTCTCTCTCCTGTTTAAAATGATAGGGTTTTCTCTGTTGTTGCTAAAGTTGTTTGGAAGAGCAACTCATTAGGAATGTTTACACACCATTTTCTCTTCCCTTCTTTTGAAAAAGAAAACTTGTTTTCAGTAGGCTGATGTTTTAATATTAATGAGAATTCTTTTTGAAATTTTAGGAATGCATAAATTAAGGAAGTCAAAAGGAGGCAGCCTGATTTAGCAAAGGGCAGGAGCGTGAACTAGAAATAAAGTCATCAGGGGTTCTATTTTTGAATTACTAAAAGCCATGCATTAAATTGATGGCAGAGTGATTTTGCCAGGGTTGTGCTTCTTGCTCCTTCTGCCCCATGTGTTTGCCTGTCACTCACCCTTGGGAGGTATTGAAAAGATGAACAAACAGATGAGATTGACAGTTTCAAGCACTAAATTTATCTAGAGGATTTATGCTATTTACTTGATTGTTGAGCACACAGAATTGTTAGTAGGAACTAACAGGGTTGTCAAATGCCCTCAAAACTTGGAGTAGCAATGTGAAAATTGTGCTGGGCAAGAATACTTAATGAAAAGAGTTATTCTGGAAGGCATTTTTGTTGAACTAGACTCACCCCTTGTATTGCGCATATTTGAGATGGGAATGCCAGGAAATGAGGCTTTCTGATTAAGAAAGCATTAGTGTTTTCTTATATTGGTCTCTGCTGTTGGGAAAGCAAGGCGATTGCACTAGAACATTAATAGAATACTCTGGAGACCATGTAGTGAGACTCAGGCCTCTAGGAGGGTTGAGGACAAAGGAGGCTGGGAAAATAACTGGGTATCTTTTTTTGTTAGATATGAATCTGTGTGTAGCACAGAATAAATGCTTAATATTTTTTGGAGTGAATGAACATGGATCAGCATTCACTGCGCTTGTCCCTTTCAAATATTTGAAACTGCTACATGTGTTTCTGGGGCTCTTTGTTGACTGGTGCAATACTAATTGGTGTTTAAGTAATATTTCTATGCCTCGAGAAAAAGGATATTGAATATGCTGTGCAAATTGTGTGATTGTTCACATTTAACGTTTATAAGATTTTTGCTTTTTTTCATCTTATTCAGTAAGAAAATCTGCGTGCTTGCTAGATTATTGATATATGGAAGAGAATAGTTATTTAATATTCAGTTCAAATAAAATGGAAATGGTACAGATTTGTTAAATAATATTTTAATCTGGTATTTATATTAATAAAACATACCTTGTTGCCCAAGAGGTTACTGGAATATATTTAGAGACCTCTTGAATGTAAAATAAATGTTCCCATCCTGCTTTATTTTTTAAAGCTGCCTTACTAAAAATAAAAAGGCTTTTATTTGTATATGTGTATGTATGTGAAAATCCAGGCTTGGTATGGTTTGTATATTATGGGCTAAAGCTCATCTTCCCTAGCAATATTTTCTCTTTCTTTAGATTTTAAACCTATAATTTCTTCCCCACAAGTATTTAACTACTTTTTTCTTTTTTCCCCCCATTTAACATAAATATCTGCATTATTGAAAATCTTCTATGTTAGTTGAAAGTAACGTGAATTCTGTAATAGGCCATACCAATTGCCCTCGAGTCGATTCCGACTCATAGTGACCCTGTAGGACAGAGTAGAACTGCCCCATAGGGTTTCCAAGGAGCAGCTGGTGGATTTGAACTGCTGACCTTTTAATTAGTAGCCGAATGTTGAACCACTGCGCCACAAGTTTTATCTTTCTCAGCCTTTTCTATAGTTCTTCTATTTTTTAATGCTGGGAAATTTGCTTGTATGGCTTCATTTTCAAGTCATCTCATTTGAGAAAACAGTCCCAGTAACCTTATGAGGTATGAAGCACTGTACGCATCCCAGAGGACTGGTGCTTAACTTTGGAACCAGCCGCTATAGATTCTATTTCAGTGTCTGCTTTATAGTGTGAATCAGTAATGTAAATCTCAGCTTTTCAAAATATATGGGAAACGTTGCCTTTTTTGCTGCCTAAGTAAAGATAAGAAAACTTTGTTTTTTCAGTTATTCAAGGATCTGCTCCATTTCCTTATCTGTTCATTGTCCATTCCTTTCATAGTAAACTGTGTAGCATTGATTGCCTACTGGGCTCTTGATGGTTTCTCATAAATTATTTAATCCTCCATCGACCTGACTAGGTTGGTAGCCTTCCCCCCCACCCCCCCTTACAAAGAAGTACCAGAACTAGAATTCAAACCCATAGCCGTTTAGCTCTGAAGCCTGATTTTTTTCCCACTCTACACCATGCTACTTCTTCCTTCTTTTCTCCCCCATCATTCTGATATTTGAGCTATTGTATAGCTCAAAACTTTTTATTCAATTATAATTCATTTCTAAAATACAGTAACTTTTGCCAGTTTGAGAGATTAGAGAGGTAAGGGACTTAATGGTCAAACATTTATAAAAACCCTTAATGATTTGCAGTATTTGGTACCCTCACTGGGAGGACAGTGGTGTGGGGAAAGGCAGAGGAAGAAATGAAAGGCCAAACCTTGATCCTGTCCAGAACGTAATACATGTAAAATTTATTTTAAAATCTACTTTTAATCCATCTGTTATGTAAGAATTTTTCTCATCTCAACACCCAAGTGAGACCATGCCTTCAAGGAATAGTATCCATTTTACAACTTTATATGCTACTTGGGTACAAAAAAGGGGTGACTCCCTACCCCTTTCTCTTTCTGGGCACACTAACTCAGTTTTACCCTGCATTTGGGCCATGCACCTCCCTTCTGAACGTTTTGAGGACCACAGTGGAAGAAAATACATTTTATTTCTGTAACCAGGACATTCCTTTAAGGACTACTAAATGTATCTTATACTGCCCTGTTTTAGGCAGACAAAAAGCAGATGTTATGTATACCAGGAATGGCTTGCTGTTTTTGGTTCACTCGTAAATACTCTTCTAAAGAGCATGCCAGTGATTGGGATGCATTTGTAAACAGAGCATGTGAGTGAGTTAGATCCATACCTTTCCTGAGGGAAGGGTCAAGGGTTTGGCTTCCTGACATGACTGGCAAGTGATGTATCTCACTACCTTCCCTAGTCAGTTAACTATTGGTGTTAACCACATGCTCAAGTCTTTGCAGAAAATAATGTTTGACGAGTAGGTGTAGCGTGTTAATCTTTTCTTTACTCTTAACAATCATGATGTCTTGTTTAGACCATTGAGTACAGTTTTAGATTACACGTGACAAAATGCCTGGCACCTAACAGTAGTTTTCTTCTTCCCTCTCTTCTTTTCTCCCTCCCTGCATACCCTGAAATTCAAATGAGAACGTTGTTGTAGAGTTGATGTAAGCAAAGGGAGCTTATTACTTAGTCTTACTCTGGCCAGAAAGCCTTTTACATTATATCCACATCTTGCATGTATAAAGTTTGCATGTTTTTATAGAGTTGAGTTATTTGGACTCTAAAATTGAATATATTCCACTGGGAAAATTGTCGGCATTCTGACACTAAAAAATTGTCCGCCCAACGTTGTGGTCTTCTTAGTCGTAATCTAATTGTTATAATACCATGGAGAATATCTTTCAATACCTTCCTGGTCCATTGTGTATTTGATTTTATCATTCATACAAACCACCTGTCAGAAAGGACCATAGAAAAACGTGTAACATGCCAGTGATGTACTGCTCTTAAAAATATAGAATCATTACTTGCTGTCTTAGATATTAATATTTTTCTGTATGATAAAATTTATAGGCACAGCAGTATATCTACTGAAATGGTCAAATAAATATTCACTATATGCTAACCAAAAGATCCGCAGTTCAAATCCACCAGCCGCTCTTTGGAAACCCTATGTGGCAGTTCTACTCTGTCCTATAGGGTCACTGTGAGACTGGCACCTAACAACAGCAGCAGCAACAACATACGCGAGACATTATAGTGGAAGTTGGAGATACAAAGGTCTCTATTATTCTGTGGATAAGATCTCCCAGCCTAGTTGGAGAGACATGGTTGGATGCATCAATAGTTAATTAGCAACAAAGATTTAAATAACAATAAATAAGTTAACAGTGGCAGTCAGGAACGTTTGTTTATTTGCCTGATCAATTGTGCAGATAATCAGTGTAATCTCACTGCTTTTAACTGGTGCTCTGGAGCCTCCCCATGTTTGTTAGAGACGTAGGTGCTATTTCATATTTCAGACCAGGTGGCCTTTAACAAGAAAATGTTTGATAATTGTTCTTTTTTTTTTTTTTTTTAAAGAATCCAACTAGGACTAGTGCTTGGCTAATGTGACCTCACTTGACTCTTTCCATTAAGGTGTAAAATTTGAAAATCAGTATATATCTGTGATATGCTGGTAAACCTGTCACAGGTAAATGTTTATAACATTTTTCAGTAAATAAAAGAAAGGAAATCAGATCTTAGCTCTACTTGAAGAAAAGTTATTTTCAATTGAAATACGTCAAAAAGGATAAAGCATGAAACCCGTGGATAATCACTAAAACTGTTTATTCATTAGCCTTCTTCTGAAGATTGTTTATGTGAGGATTCTTTTTATTCTTCATCGTTCCCTTATATTCTCTAATAAGATAGTTAAATGTGCCAAAATATGCCATTTTTGTTTAAATTGTGCTGTAATTATTTATGTATTAAAAAAAGAAATTGCCGTTGGGTCGATTATGAATCTTAGCGACCCTATAGGACAGAATAGAACTGGCCCATAGGGTTTCCAAGGAGTGGCTGGTGGTTAGCAGCCGTAGCTCATAACCACTGTGCCACCAGGGCTTTGTAATTACCATTAGAACAACGTATTTGTATTACAAATATTTCTCAGCATTTGTCAGTGGTCTGTCATTATTAGTATCTACTACAACCAAATTCCCATATCACAAAAAAAATTTGAGGACTTCTTTTAAGAGTTAATTGTCATAGAACTTGACCTATGTTTACCAGTAACCAGTTGCCATAGAGTGGATTCCAACCGTGGCAACCCCACATGTGACAGTGTAGAACTGTGCTTCACAGAGTTGTCAGTGGCTGCTTTTCAGAAGTAAATCACCAGGTCTTTCTTCCAAGGTACCTCTTGGTAGACTCGAACCTCCAGTCTTTCCAGTAGCAGCCAAGAGTGTTAACCATTTGCACCATGAAAGGACTAAACCAAAACCAAAAACAAAACCCGTTGCTATCAAGTTGATTCTGACTCATAGTGATCCTATAGGACTACTTAAAAAAAAAAACCAATCCAAACCCGTTGCTGTTGGAGTCGATTCCGACTCATAGCGACCCTGTAAGACAGAGTAGAACTGCCCCATAGAGTTTCTAGGGAGCCTCTGGTGGATTTGAACTGCTAACCTTTTGGTTAGCAGCCAGGCTCTTAGCCAGTACACCACCAGGGTTTCTATAGGACTACTTACTGACCTATAATTAGAGGAGGGTAAATAGGACCTTTATTCTTAGGTTTTTGAAATAATTGCCTCCGAGGACAGTCCGGTACAATCGGTTAACTAAACACAAAAGAATAGTTTATCATCATTGATTAATTAACACTTTTCTCTTTTTCCTTATTTTTAGCCTGAGCCTCCTACAACAAATAAATGGCAGCTGGACAACTGGCTGACCAAAGTCAACCAACCAGCTTTGCTGCCGGAAGGCCTCGGGAGCACAGAGCCTCCGCAGCACCACCAGGACAGTAAGGGTAAGGGGAGTGGCGACAGCAGCAGCACCGCTAGTCACGAGCACTCTGAATCCAAAGATCCTGCCCCCAAGAGCTCCAGCAAAACTACCCGGATCCCTTCTGAAGGCCCACACCCTGGCAAGAGAAGTGGTCCGAAGTCTCCTGCACAACAGGAGCCCCCACAGAGGCAAACTGTTGGAACCAAACAACCCAAAAAACCAGTCAAGGCCTCTACCCAGGCAGATTTGCGAGCCAGCTTGCAGGTAGAAAGTGAGCCAGGACTGCTTCCTTATGGCTCCAAAGACCAGACTTCCAAAGACAAGCCCAAAGTGAAGACGAAAGGAAGGCCCCGTGCTGGAGAAAACAAAGAGCCCAAGCCAGCGGTGCCCACCCCCAGTGAAAGGAAGAAGCACAAGAGTACTCCCCCTGCCCCCTCCAAGGTGCTCTCCGCCCCTGAACCCACAAAGGACAATGTGGAGGACAGGAGCCCTGAGCACTTTGCTCTTGTTCCCCTGACTCAGAGCCAGGGCCCACCCAACAGTGGCCGAGGCAGCAGGACTAGTGGCTGCCGACAAGCGGTGGTCGTCCAGGAGGACCGCCAGAAAGACAAACTCCCGTTGCCTTTGAGAGACACCAAGTTGCTCTCACCGCTCAGGGACACTCCTCCCCCACAAAGCTTGATGGTGAAGATAACCCTAGACCTTCTCTCCCGGATACCCCAGCCACCTGGGAAGGGGCGCCGCCAAAAGAAACCGGAAGATAAACAGCCTCCCACAGGGAAGAAGCATGATTCTGAGAAGAGAAACTCGGACAACTCAAGCAAATTGGCCAAAAAGAGGAAGGTGAGTGTGTGGAGACTGGCCTTCCTCAACAGTGTCTAACATACCTACTGTTGGCTTGGGGTTGGCTCTTTGACTGGCCCTTGATTTTAAACCCATCTCTGAGTTGTCTCAGAGAAGGTTGGAAATCTCCATTTTGATTTTATGTATCCTTGCTCCTCGTACCAGAGTTACTCCTTCAGTCTGGACTTTGATTGATGCTTCCCATTCTCCGGTCAGAGGTATTAACAAATGCCAGGCTCCTTCATCAGTCTTGCCAGTTTGAAAAAGGATGAGGCATACATTAAAAATGATAGCTTCTTTTAGGATAATGTAGCGTTTGGGGGTAAGTTTTTATTTATTCTGGTAAGATTGGTATTTTACCACCTGACCCATTGGGCTTTGTCCTAGAAATTAAGACCTTCATAAACGGAAATGTTCATTAGTATTCTGAACTACTGAAAGAACTGTATACCCTAAATTTCACTCCTGTAGTATGATCTTTTTAGTACCAATATTACATACTTATTTTAATTGATCGCCATCTAACACCTCATTATTTTGAAACCACCAGATTCACAATTTGTGACCTCCATTAATGACTTTTTTAAATAGCAGAACATTATAAAAAAGTTTTATAGCTATTAAATGTATGTTTAGGCTATCTTATCAAGTAATACAGGCTGGAATGTTGTGAAGTATTAAAAATCTGTCTGTTTATTACAGATTGAAGTTTAAGGAATGGACATGTTAAAATTTTTTTAAATCTATACATTATTTAAGACCTTCTGTTACTTGGACATAACCACTATTGTGGAAGGTCTCCTTATGTCCTTTATTCTGTACCATTGAGCTTTTGATCTATTCTTTGCTTATTCTTGATGATGAAGGATGAGTGAGTTTTTCCCCAGTGGCATTCCCAAGCGAACCTGCCCAGGATTCAGAGACAGACGCACAAGGGCCACCTTTCTTCTGCTGAGAAGAAATAACAATTTTTAACACTCATAAGAGTACATGAAAAACTTCTTACTCAGTTGTGGAAAGAATAACAAGTGTAAAAAAGATAATGAAAGCCTGCTGTCATGTCTGTGATTCAGGTGATTAATCTACATTCACGTGATTAAAAATAAAATGCAACTGTACCAAATAATATAGGGGGGCAGTTTTCTCAAGAGCCATGCCAAAAGAGATGGGGGGGTTGTGTATTGCCACCATAATTGCAGCAGACAAGTAGAGTGGGGTGGGATCTAGTGCTAACTGTTGGTGCTATTTTAGGTAGAAGAGGGCATATTCTCTTGCCAGAAAACTTTTAAAACTCTGTATTTTTTAAAGGTACAGAACTCTATGCGGGAAATTGCTAGGAAAAAAAGCTACCTGCAACTAATAATATACCTGAGAAAACTGACTTATTTACTACCTCCTCCTGGGAAATCTTCAGTCGCATGTATCCCATAGCCTTGTATACCCATTCCCCCAGCACACCTCATGCTAACCTTCTTCATTATCTAAAGTGGGGAGAAGCATCAGCATCTAAAATGCTTAATAACCAGGTGGAAATATTAGAAATTGGAGAATCCACAGGACAGCTTTCAGCCCAGTTTCTTACCCTAATACAAATCTAGAAGCGTTGATTGCAGCTCTAGAAAGGGAAACACATAGCTCAAGCGGCACTCTCCCGGTTCAGTATAAGAGCTTCTATAAGCCTTCCCAGCACTTGGCCAAGCTCTTCAAGGGCAGCTCATTTATCTGTCTAGAGCATGCAGAAATAATGATTCTTTTATCTTAATCGAGTGCAAGATTTCTCTAAAGCTCTGGCAGCAGATGGGAGATGTGGCCCTGGGAACAGTCTGCCTGTCGGATGGGGGTAGTGATGGGATTGGGGTCTGAACCAGTAGTTCCAAATCCTGGCTACACAGTATGGCCACCTGGGGAGCCTTTAGTACAGGTGGCAGGGTACCCCCTCCCCCAGTTGGTGTTTATGAAAGCTCCTGAGGTAATCCTAAAGCCTCGTGGAGCTGGGAACCACTGGAGCAGAGCCCCACTCTACGGCCCGTGATTAGGCAAAGCTAGTTCTTTGGATAGAGAAATTCCTCATGTGCTGTTTTTAAGACATCATGGATCTAGGCAACCAGGGATTCCCTTCCTGAAATATGTCACTAGTTAAAAACATTACT